TATTGTTTATTGAATTCAATGTCACATTTGTAATCATGGTAATTTTTGGAGAAAAACGGCACTCTTCGTGTGAAATTGAATAACTATATGAAGTGGTATAAATATATACATTTTCTGCCATCATGTCTTGAATTTGTGATCATTCTAAATGCATTTTAATAGACTGAATCATGCAGTGAAAGAAAACACACTAAATGCGCACACACACTAAGTCTAGACTTCACATAATGTATGCGTGCGCTCTGCAGGGATGTTTTGAATGGTTTTTGCAAAATACTCGATAATGTCAAATCGCACATCGTTAAAACAACAATATTATATAATTATATATTATATAATATCGCAGACGATATATATCGCACACCCCTACTGCCAGGGCATTTTCACACCTGGCTCGTTTGGAGCATTTATTTCAGAACCTGGTGGGTTTTCTCCCTTTGGTTCATTTTGGCATATGTGAACACGGCAATAATGCTCAGATCCACAACAAAACAACTGGTCTGGTGGTCTCACCAAAGTGGGCTAACCCCAATTCAAACCAGACTTTGGAGCGGTTTGGTTGTGGTGAAAAAAGCAATCCGAAGCAATCAACAGAAAAATATGCCAAGCTGTATAACTCATTATTGGAAATGCATTATATTTAAAAAAGCAGCAGTGGTTGATTCTGTGGATTATCACATTAGTTATCGCAGTTAAAGAAGAGCTCCTCTTCACCTTCCCGTGGAGCTGACTTGTCAATCCATCTTGATGGATGGCACTATCAGCGGAATCCCGAAACATGTATTTATTTGACCAATAAGTGGATAGTTTTACCTGCATGACTTACATAAACACATTTTGATATGCTTTGAAATTTTGCCTGAGCCAAGAAGAAAAAACAACATTGTAACAATTTGGGTCCCTGTTTTGGAATGAAGCAAATGATCTACAGCTCTGAAAATGTCCTTAAGGTACTCAATAGGAAATGGAAGATAGTCCCTCTTGGCGTCCGATCTATATGTGGGTCATCTCACCTTGGTAACTACAGTTGAAGGGAGTTTGCCAGTGCTGGTGCTGCTGGGTGTACTATGCATCTCTCTCTTGACCAGCGTAAGGTAGTATCCTGTACCAAGACGTGCCTTGAGGAAGAGTGGTGTTCCACAGCAGCACAGCTTTCCCTGGGAAATGATTGCAATGCGGTCACCGAGGAGATCAGCCTCATCCATGTAATGTGTGGACAGAATGATGGTGCGGCCTGAAATCCAAAGGGCGTTTAGTCTGGTAGCTCACAAACCAGTAAATAGTCATTTTTCAAAAGCAAAGTTTTAAAAGACCTTCACGGTATTTGAGCAGAAGGTCCCAAATCCCACGACGGGAGTAGGGGTCCACACCAGCTGTGGGCTCATCCAAGACCACAACCTTTGACCCGCCTATGAAAGCGATTGCAACAGACAGTTTCCTTTGCATGCCACCTGCCAAGAAAGACAAAAACTGCCCAAGTAAAGCTGAGACGTCACGGTTGAGAGAACACCATAACAGACATTGAACACCTGAATGGATTTGAAATATATATACATTTGTTAATCTACCTGAAAGGTTTTTGGTCTGCTCATGTCGTTTCTGTTGTAAGCCCACATTATCCAAAAGAGAATTTATCTCCTTCTTCACTTCCCCCATGCTCATGCCTTTCATTCGACCGTAGAACCACACATGCTCCTCCACCGTCAGGCTTCAGTGACATGCAAGAGAACACCAATAATGTTAAACATACAGAATATGTTAGTATAGGAAGTATAAGCTTGACTTGTGGCAACACAAATGTTAACTATTACGATTGAAAACAAGTGCTGTGGTATCATGTTAATAATGTTGGTTATTACATTATATTATAATGATGATTATTGTGATTTTATTGCCATAGAATAATAATTAATTAGTAATTAGTGTCAAAAAGCAAAAATAAGACAAACATGGAAAATCAGTTACTGATAACCAGACACTTCAGTACAAAAATAATCAGTATAGGTATCAGCTATAAACAAAATAACATCAGTGGTCTCAAAGTAAAATTACCACAGTACATGTAAAATTATCATGATATCACTTTATAATTTTTGTTGACTGCTGGCCTACATGTCAAAGAGGACATTGTGCTGGGGACACACTCCCAGAGTCCTGCGGATCATATCCATATCTGTGCGAATGTCCATTCCCTTCACGTATATCGTACCAGCACTGGGAGGAAACAGTCCTGTTAGAATGGACCTGTGAGGCAAATAATCATGAAGTATTGAATGAGTTAATCAATTAGTCAGAGCACTTGACAAAGATTTTAAATTAAATATTAGATATTTGTAATGAATAATTTTTAAGCTCTCACATAGTGGTTGTTTTGCCAGCTCCATTATGACCTAGAAAAGATGTTATTTGGCCCTCATAGAACTTTATGTTAAGGTGATTGACAGCAAGCTTAGCCCCTTTTTTATAAATCTTCACCAAGTTTCTTATGGCAACTCCCAGAATGAGGTTTGTCGGTTCAGCTTCAATCCGATCTGTAACAAACATTGCAATTAAGAAATATTTAATCAAAAACATGCTCCATGCATCACACAAATACTGAAAACGTCTGTATTTCAAATATTGTCACTTATAGTTTGATGCTCTTACCATCGGGCTCATCTCTACGTGTTGGAGGAACAGGCAACCCCACCTCTAATGGAACCCCACCCCAGTAATTGAGCTGGAAGATAAAATACCACGGTCTGGGGATCCCATACTGCCCTGTTGAACACATCCAATTATTGTCATATTTTTACATGCAAACTAAATCAACACAATGAGTTTGTTTATCATATATTTATGCTTAATAAACCAAGTTATAAAACAAACTGTATTTGACATGTACCAACATGTTACTGTGATTGTATCAGATAATAATGCCATGATACTTTGATGCTGCATTGTATGTGAACATACAGACAAAACCTCAGCGACACACCACAGTTAGAATTGCATGTGTCTGCTTTTGCGTTTGCTCACAGAAAGATGCTTTACCTGGAAAAACAGCTTCAATGTACCAAGTGGCCAGTGCATAAATGACAGCATCGGCATACAGCATCACAATGGAGATGGTGAAGTTGTAGCTGTCTCCCTCCATGGGGCTTGATCTCAAGTTGAACCACTGGATCCCCACACCCTGCTCTTCATACTGCGAGAAATACTCACAGCCAAAACCAAAGGCTACTGGAGACAGGAAGCTCTACAGGGAAATAAGTCATCACTTTAAACATCTGAAATACAGGGTTTATTACGAACAGGCAGAAATGTAATCTATTTTCTAATAATCTTCTCCTTTGCAGCTCTCAAATCACATTCCTGTATATACTCTTATATGTGTTGCATGAAGAAGCCAGGGAAAGTAGATGAAAGCTCTCACTGCTAGGATCCTGTGTGTGCTGGTGAGATATTCCCTCCAGGCCACACACAGCACATACGGCAGGTAAAGGGTGAAGTAAATGAGTCCTCCACACGCTGCTGCCAGGTTAGCTCTTGAGAAGAATGTGCTGATGAGGAAGCAAAGCATGATGGTGGCTGTAGCGAATGCAGTCAGGAAGAAGAAAACAACAGTCGGGTCACTGTAGGGTAAGATATCGCCCCACTGCAGGAAAGAAGAGAAGCAGAAACCTCAATCAGGGTATATTCATTTCAATTAATCTTTTGATAACTGGAAAATTGAGAAAAAAACGAGTACTATGGGCTCAGGAGAGCTTTAAGTTCCTTTTCACACTATCAGAGTTCACCTTAAGGGCGGCGATAAGGAGTCCAGCGCTGAAAAGGAAGGGCAAGTAACTGCTGATGAACCAGCTGAGCCACAGCATCCCAGAGCTCAGACCCATGATACGCATTGTCTCCTTCAGGCGAGCCTCTTTCTCATAGACCACACCTTTTATGATCATAGCCACAGAATAGATCCACGCCAGTGTCATAAACAGAGGCAGAGAGCGATTCAGGACACGTAGGAACCTAAGAAAAGAGGATAACGACAAGTGCCCAAAACTAAGACAAAAATGTGGCCAAGTTCTAAGAAATATAATAATAAAAAAAGAAAATCTCAAAAGAAATATAAAAAGAATATAATACAATATAAAAATAAAAATAAATATAAAACAAACAAACAAACAAAAAAAACGTATTAATGTATGTAGCACAAAGTTTTTGATGTACAACCTCTATATCAGAAAAGTTGGGACGCTTTATAAAATGCAATAAATTCAAGAATCTGTGATTTGTTGATTCTCTTTAACTTTTATTTAATTGACAAAAGTACAAAGAAAAGACAGCTTCAATGTATTTTGTAAATATAAACAATTTTTGATTTTGATGGCTGCAACACACTCCAAAAAAGTTGGGACAGAGGCAAAATAAAAGTGACAAGGTTATAGAATATCCTAATTAAACTGTTTTAAAACAGTTCACAGTAAGCAGGTGGATTGGTAATAGGTGAGAGCATCATATTTTGGGTATAAAAGGAGAATCTCAGTCTTGGCAAATGGATCATGGCTCATCACTCTGTGCATCAATAAATGCAACTTGAATCTCTGTTACTCTAGGAGAAAGCTATACATCAATTCTATGCAGTGAAGCCGCTGGGTTCTCTGGGCCAGAGCTCATCTCAGATAGTCAAAAAGACAGTGGAAATGTGTGCTGTGGTCAGATGAGTCCACATTTCAACTTGTTTCTGGGGAAAATGGACATGGTATAGGGCTGCAGCAGAGCAAACGGCATGGGTGACTGCTGGCATATGTGTGAAGGTACCATTGACATGGAGGCATATATTGGAATTGTACAGAGACATCTACTGCCACCAAGATGACGTCTTTTATAGGAAGTCCATGGTTGTTAGATCAAAACAATGCCAGGTCTCATTCTGCATGTGCTATAACAGCGTGGTTTCGTAAACACAGAGGGAATGTGCTAGACTGGCCTGCCTGCAGTCCAGATCTGTCTCCTATTGAAAATGTATGACCAGTCATGAAAAGGAGAATCAGACAACGACGATCCCAGACTGCTGAGCATCTGAAGTTTTGTATCAAGTGAGATTGGACAAAGATTTTGCTTGCAAATCCTCATTTTATCCCCAATTCCCAAAGAATTAACCAATGTAATTAAAAGAAAAGTTGGTAAACATGCCTCTGTCCCAACTTTTTTGGAGTGTGTTGCAGCCATCAAAATCAAAATGTCTTTATATTTACAAAATAAAACTAAGTTGGCCAGTGAAAACATTGGAATTTTTTTCTTTGTACTTTAGTCAATTAAATAAAGGTTAAAGAGAATGAACAAATAACATACTTTTGATTTTATGGCATTTCACAAAACGTCCCAACTTTTCTGGAATTGGTGTTGTACATTGTGGAGTAACATGTGGTGTGAAACTGAAGAGTGCAACTCACATGTCATCAACAAAGCAAGGGTAGGGCATCTGTTGCACATATATGCCCGTTTTTGGCTCTTTACCGGTGAGCAAATGTGTCACAGCTCTCTCAACTAAATCCTGTACGTAAATAAACCCACCCCAAACATAGCGGAGGTCACTGAATGGCTCAGCAGCCGGGCCTGGATCCCAAAATCTGTTACATAATGAAACATGATATCAGCTTCATTAAGCAATTGGCCATGGAAGTGTTACATTAATCATTTTTCTGTAAACTTAAGTTTATGTGTGGACATTTCAGCTTACTTGTCTTTGATCTTGTTTGTGCGGGTTACATCGTCTATGTCCATGCGGATCTTGTACTTGACATGAGGAGGCAGGGAGGATGCTGAAGGGTCTGGAAGGAGGAAGACAATTCCGGCCCAAAACTGACGATCTTCCAGCAGCTCTAGGGCTCGTTCGACCATCTCACCCTCCGTGGCCAAACCCTCCATTTTATTCAAAGAGAAGCACTGGAACAATAGAGGGTATGGACAGACAATGGTCAATACAAAAGCAAGCTTTTGACAAAATATGACTATAACTACCTGGCTCTAAAGCATCTTAGATCCATTAAAAGTAGAAATCGTTATCCATAACACTTTTATTTCAATTAATAATATCGTTTTTTTAACCTAATGTCTATGTGCCACATGTGTTACATATTTTTGGTAATGCACCTACATAAATTATTTATTCAAATTTGAGCAAGTTCTCTATATTGTTCCTTTTCAAAGTAGAAAAACATCTGGTTATTCATTACTGGATAATTTGTGAGGGTGAAGTCATCACTATGTATATGACAAATCTGGACATACTAAATATTATTTATAATATGTTGTATGCCAATATTAAATACAAAATTTGAAAGCAAATAGCATGGATAGTATAAGCAATGATTTGTGGTGGATTTTATTGAATCATGAGTTTTAAATGGACCTTAAAGTTGTCTCTTCCCTTACAAACTTTCCTTACTATCCCCCTTTTATATATTTATATATTATGTTTGTTTCATTATGCTTTCTGTTCTTTTCTTTTCTTGTATAGTTGTTTTGTCTACTTTGAATGTATATGTGTATATGAAAAATACTTCAAAGCAATATTAATCATCCAACAAAGGACAAGAAAAAAACTTTGATTAAAAAGTAATAACTGTATAATAATAATTAATAAGGAAAGCAAAATGGTACACGTTACAGTGGTATAATGTTTTACATATAATAGTATTTATTAATATTTTGAAATAGCTTTTATTAGGCCATACCAGTGTTTTAGGACATAACATGTCCCTTCCTAGTGTACAGATAACAAGCAAAAACAATCAGGTTTACTACTTAAGCTGGTCGTAACATGAGCTGCGGATTGCAAGTACCTTAGTGAGTTCTGAGAGAGTGCTGAAGGTGTTGTTTAAATCCTGATACAGATCCAACCATGTGGGTGGAGCCCCATCCCTACGAGGTGTATCTGGGTCAGGCGTTGAAAGGAACCGTGAAATGCGAGAGGCCGTCCAAGAAGTGTTCTGAAGACGTAGATTCACAACTACTGCCACCTCAGGCCTTCTCAGAAGATCCTGCAGAAGCCGAATTTCTACACTGCTCTCCATGAAGGTTTTGATTCTGGGAGCCACTTCCTGCCACGCCTCCTGCATGTCATTCAGAATCTGGAAGTCCTGAAATGTTTTGTTTACCTAAAGGAACAAGAATGTCAGGAAAGTACCAAAGACATCCCATTTTTGGACAACAGACATATTGCATAATAAACAAGGGGCTGAGCGGAAGGGGGCGGTACCTCTGACATGACCATACGGGTGACTGGTGTGTCTGGTGTGTATAGCAGCTTTCCAATAAACACTGGTTTGATGCTTCGCCACACAATCCGTGAGAGAGGGTTCGACTCCAGACTTCGAATCAGGTTTTCACAGAACGGAGCTCAAAAAAAAAAAGGCAGGATTTGTTACTATACAAACATTTCTACGGTTTCATTGTCAAAATAACAGTTGTTATCATTTTTATCCATAGTGTGTAGAGTTACCCTTGATGCCCAAACTAAATAGGAATATGCTTT